TCCACGTCGTGTAGATTTAAGGAGAGGTTTCTGGATTCTACCAAAAAGAAGGTTTGCCCCAGTCTAATAGCAACTCTTTATCAAAAATGATTTTGAGGTTTTTAGTACTATTACTCCAGATAAGTCTGTCCTAAGACTGGTATATGCCTCCTTATATCGTTGCCCCAGTTGGTCCATTCATTGAGAATTTTCTTGAGGGAAATAAAGCGGCGGTTTAAATCAAAAATCCTTCCGGGGATAAGTTTATCGGTTTTAACAGCTTGTGTATTAACACGAACTCAAATTTTCGGGCTTATTAGCCTTTCGACGGGAGTTTAAAAAGAATTATTAATTATCTCTCTATATTCCTTCTTGATAACCAATCATAAAAACTCTCAAAACTTTGTATAAGTTCTAAAATTGTTATTTTTGAAATTGATTTGTATTATGGGCGGAATTCCTCCTTTTATCTAGCATCTAAAAAAAAAGTTCCATATACCCTCACTCTAAGCATTTGCCGGATATGTAAAAAGTGATTCAACACCAGTTCTGTTAAATCCAATAATTCGTCAGTACAACATGATCCTTATCAGTTCAAGGCTTTTTTTAAAACTCGTATTTTCACAGCTGGATAGCGTGTAAGCAACATTTCTCGTGTAAAAGTAATCCGTCATCACCCCACATATATACTTCCCAAAATAATAAAATTAAAGAGCCGTCCTAGACAGGAATAAGCTTCAAGGATTCTGGAAGGAATCCAAGTACTTTTTTTCTTGCTTCAAAACGTCTCTCCACGTGTATGTCGTACATAGAGCAATAAGAGACCGACCATTTCAAATGATATGTCGATCAAATGTTGCTGCATTCGACAAAATATTTATATTGAAAAAGTAATATATTGGGGAATCCATAGTTTAGATATCCATTGGAGGCATACATTGGGGGTTGTGACATTTATTTAAGAAACTAGCCGAATGACCCGGGCAACGCCCGTGTTTTACCCGATTGAATGTTTTGATTCAAATACTATTTGTTACAATTATAAATTGGCGCCTTAAATAATTGCATATGTTAGTTAATAACTATAGCCTATGTGCTTTATCTGTCTATGTACTGTTGGCTTCCGTAGGCGTCTCTTACTGGGAAAAAGAAAGAGAGGATTCCATTTGGTTATTATCTAATATATGCATTTATTTAGGGAGCGACCCGCTCCAACACAATAGTTACAAAGACGAAATAGCGAGTGAGGGGGGGGGGCAAAGGTGGCGTGACCGTAGCCAACCAATAGGAGGGCGCCATTCCAAAAAAAAAAGCAAACGGTGACAGAGATGAAAACTGACTGATTGATTAGGAGATGAGGAATGACGCTCATAACTGTATATATAATAATTAATAGTTCGTATTGTCAGTGAATAATTGATTTAATTCCAAATTATCACTGTGATTACATAATCTGTCACTAATTTAAATTAGCTCCACCGCTAGTTATTATACAGTCGAATAATTTGAAACTCAAGGGACCAGAAAAATTTTTAATTTATCAAGAGTTCAAATTAACAGGAGTTTAAATAACTTATAAATAATAAAATATTGGATTAATGTATTTTATTTTCGAAACGGCCTTTTTTAAAAACGACACATACGCATTAAACAATGATATAGTTGAGCAGATTATAAATTATTTACTGATAACTATATTTCCTTGGTTAGTTTTAATCCTTTTACCGCATTGGCAAAGATTAAAATTATGTGCGGCTCATTTCAACATAGAGAAGAAAATACTAAGATAAAAATGTCTTAATGTAGATATTTGTTAGATCTTAAACACCGATTCGATATTGGCTAAGGCATAGTTTGGTTTAACGGAATATATGATTTTGAAGCCTTTTTTTATTTAGTTGTGAAATATACACTCACAGACAAAACTTAAGGAAGTTATACCTTTTAGCATGTATATCGGGATTCAGACAATAACTCTGAAAGATATTACAGTGACCTATATTGAAGACACACGAGATAACCAAGTGTGAATAAAATTGCCTCTGTCTTCTTCAAAAAATGTACGACCGGCAATATCAAAGACTTTCCACTTCCTTTAAGTTTTATCCATGAGTGCATATGTTGAGGCTCTTGTGTGAGAATGTACTCACGTAAATAAACCTTGAAATATATATTTTAAAATAGATAATTTTTTTAATTATCTTAAAAATAAAACATTTAAGTAATATGTTTAGCCGATCGAGTGAGAAAGAAATGCTGGTAAAAATATATGTTAAATTTTTTGTACATATGCAATATCTTTCTTAGATATTTAAACTTTAAAAGCCTAATAGAATTCAAAACCTATTTCATGCCAATAATTAAATCGTATTTTATGAAAATAAGTTTTAAGAAACGTGCTTCAATTATTATATCGTCTGATATTCTATTTTCACTAGGAGTTAAGCAAACAATATTTAGAATGCAAAATGTAAATTGAGAAAACAAAATTTAATTAGTATATTATTATATAACTTACCCATGAAATGAAAATATTTAAAAAATACCTTAAAAGAAAATACGACATTAATATTTAGAGTCCCATAAATAACGTCGTATATTTAATTAAATTTTCTTCAATGTTACCCAATTTATTTTTACAATCTAACATTTATTTGAAACAAACAAAATTTATATTATACGAAAGTTCGGTCTTTATTAGCTTAATTAAATATGAAAAAGCTTTAAAAGGATTTAAAATTTAATATATTAGGCTATTTTTAGTTCAAATAAATTTCGTATAGAGTTACTTTTTTTGAATGTTTTAATAAGAAAGGATATAAAATATATTATATAAAGAATAAATTTAAATATCAAATTTTGTAAACTATGTGCTTCATTTTTGAACTGATAAAATTTATTAGTTAACATTTTTAAATGCAGCTTCTGAAAATAGACGTTTTTACAATTCATAAATATGTAATTTTTAAAATAGCAGTTTTAAAAAAAACTAGTATATATGATGGAAAGGCCTATAAAATTAATATTATTTTTTCGTTTAAATTAAAAAATAATTAGTTGGTTATAAAACATACGTTTGCATTTAAATAATAATTCTATTGCTTTTTAAAGTGTATTATTGTGAAACATAATTTTAAGATATTATAAGTCTAGCTATATTTATTTACTATAAAGTAATAAATGATAGAAATGATAGGCGCGAACTTTCATATAAAATTTAATTAGAATTCCTTTTAAAATACATTGATTTAAAAAAAAACAATGATAGATTAACCTTATAAAAATGTCTTATCGAATTTTTCATATTTTTATAATAGGGTAACGTTTTTGAAATCGTGTATGAATAACTATAATCATATATAACAATTATTGTTATCTTCTTGTCTACGCTCCTCTATGTCAACGATAGTACTTGTGATTTTGGAGAAAATATTTAGAGAATTAGAAACAAATATAATTTCATCTGCGGAGAAGCTTTAGAAGTATTACGCTTCTGACAGTTTTGTTTGTTTTTATTTATCTAAGATATTTTGTATTTTGATGGTGGCTCTTTTTATAATTCTGCATTTATAAAATAGCTAATATTTGGTGCAGTTTATAAATATGTTAGATAAATATATGTCACTCTTGGCTATTTGATAACAAAACCTGATTCCCACCATCCCCCTAAAAAATGAATAATAATAATCTATGTTCGAATTGTTTTGAATATTTATAATCAAATATTCTGTTTGATATTTTTTTAAAGATCATTTGTTAGTTGGAAGTCACTGAAACGTTGGGAATTAAATAAATAACTGGTTGATGTATTTTTTCCAAAACATCAGTTATCTTTTATAAATACAATTTTCATCTATCGATAAAATTCATAACAAATTTACTGTCAATGTGTTTCTTTTTAATAATATATCTCTCTTTCTCATCAAATATTATCTCTTATTTATTTCAACACACAAAACGCTATGAAATGAAATATTATCTCTACTATATATAAATAATACATACATTGCCAGTAAATTTAATTGTTACGAATTTTATTAAAGTTATTATTTTTAAAATTACAAATATATTCTAACAATGAGTATATTTTTATTTAAAAAAACGCTAGCTTTCAAGCGTTAATCGCTTTTCAACGGGCTTACTATAATATCGACTTTATCCCACCAGACATATTTACAAAAACTTGTAAGTAAAAAAGGTTTTTGTAAATATTTCTGGTGGGATAAAGTCGATATTATAGTAAGCCCGTCTAAGAGCGATTAACGCTTGAAAGATAGCGTTTTTTTAAATAAAAAGAAACCCATTGTGAGAAAATATTTGTAATTTTAAAACTTTTTTCACAATTTTATCATGAATATAGTTATTATTATTTATGCGTGGTTGTAGGTAACGTTGAATGGTAAAGTTGAAATTTTTCCTAGCTGTGGACGAAAGTGATAAAATAACATGGGATCTTGGCTAATTTTGGTAAGCTCTAAATCTGTTGGTTTGACTAAACATTTCTGGTGACTCATGTGGGGGGGGGTGAGTATTCTTCCGTCTGTTTCTTTATATAGACTGATCGTTTGATTAAAATTACGTCTGATGACACCTCGCTATACATCGGAGCACATGGAATATTTTTTCCTTCTAAAGATCTTTTAAATTCTCTTCTTCTAAAATAACGTCTATTTTATGTGCAGTGGTCAAAATTCACTTTTTTTCTGTTCAGCTATTGGTCGGTTGTAATATTTAATAACGTGGCCAATCTTCATATAATCTTGTTAATCATTTAGATCCTCATCCTTCCTATTTCAGGCTTCTGAAACATCATGTGTAGCAAGAAATTTATTATTAAAGTCAATCCTATAAAAGCTACCTCCTGTCCATTTTTTCAATAATAATCTTTAATTCTTTAGCTATTCTTAAAATATCGATTACAATTATAAATTGGCGCCGTGGATGTCTCTCTTGTGAAACGTCCCGCCCCAAACTGTGTGTGTCTTGAAAATATAAAAATAAAAATGTGAACGAAAAAATATGTCCAGGGTAGCCTAGTGGTCATGGTCATCTGCCCGGTAAGCGGAAGGTCGTGGGTTCGATTCCCATCCCTTGACACTTTTTTTATTTTATCCATTCTGACCAAAATCTATCCGTGAACTTCACACAGTGAACTTCACACAGAGAGAATAAGGCAATTATATAAGTAGATAATCCAAATTGTGCCTTATCACACACTATTTTTTTATTTGGCCGTATTACCTTGTGTTTATAATCTATGACGTAATGCCGGCGGCGCGCGCCCGTTGGCTGCCGGCGAGCACGTGACCTCCCTGTGCGCCCGCATCCGTGACAGAACCCATGACGGTCGTGACTATATATGTTGATTATTAAGTTGAAGAACATTTTAAAAAAACATTTTCTTTAATTTTGATTTCGTTGTTTATTATTTTTATTATAGTTATTTCACAAAGGAGAATCTAAAAAATCGTCTGTAAAAAAATATATATTACAATTTCAGTAGACATTTATGAATTCATACATTTTGAATAGAATTTCTCCCAGACAAATATCAAGGCATATATAATTTCATGTGAATGTATTTAATGATATACAAATACGTTTTTTATCAAAATAACAAAAATGCTACTATATTTTTTTAAACAATTAAAATATTTTTAAACATATGTGTTTGATTCCATTAAGTATTTTTTATATTTCTTTTTTTAAATATATATTTTAAAAATTGAAATAGAATTTTTTTTTTTTTTTTTTTATTTTAAATTATATTGGAACTAGTAGAAAAGCCCGTCCAAGGACGGCTAGAGCAGGTGGATTCCTAATTCTATTTCTCACATTCCTTTTTGATACTTAATAATATGTAATCGGAAGCGGTCGAGGTAAAAGGTAAATATGTTAACTTTTCTATTAGTTAAAATGATATTTTATATACTTTATAATTTTTCAAATCGACATCAAAATTGTTATTATAATTTAAAAAGAACAGTGAGCCAGAGATAAAAAAAATATATTCGCAGTTTTTTTGTTACCAAACAAACCAAATATGATGATAAATATCGAATATAAAGTTATAAGTCAAAAGCAATTGAGCTATATTAATTAATATAATAAAGAGAAACGGTCATTCTTTTTTCTTTATATATAGGTTTTGCAACTTTAAGACATTTATAAGAGACCACAATAAAAAACAATAATATAAGACAGCACAATTTAATTTTTTACTTTAACAACATTTTCATTTTTAGTTTTTCTTTGAAACTCTAACATCAATATGTTTTCGTTATTGAAAAACCTTAATTGGAAATAACATTATTCTTACTATTTTATTTAGTGTGTACTCTCAGTTGTACTCTCACGGCATAATATCAACATTTTATAGTATAGTGTAAAAATGTATAGTGTAAAAATGCAAAAAAAAAACGTTACACTATAATATAACACTATATAACACTATATAATTTAACAATGTGACATAGATCAATTTTCGATATATATTGAATTTTTATTCTATTTTATTTTGAGCGTCTCTCTATTTTGAATATTCACTAAATATCGAAATGAATATTAACTAAATATCGAATAAAGAATATAAATATTTAATAAAATAAAAAATACGCATAGGCATATTTAATATAAGCAATATTAAAATAGCCAATTTCTGGCGTAATTAAATATTGGCGTATAAAATAGAATATTAAGAGAGTAGTTAGGGAACAAACATACATACAGACAAACAGACATTTTATGAAAAATGACCTTAACAAAATAAAAACGGTGCTAAAATGAAAAATGAAAAATTAAAAATGAAAAATGTTATTAAAGTGTAAAATTTACTAAATATTACTAAGATTTACTAAAATGAAAAATGTCGTCGTTAAAAGTACGCATTTAAATATTTAGACTATAAAAATTAGAAAAGAGAAGGCAAGTATGAAAAGTATTTAAAGTGTAAATTATGAATATTATCAAATATGTGGCTGATGTGGCTAGTGTAAATTACGAATATTTATATATCAAATTATTTCGTTTTATTTCAATCAATGGCCGAGCGTGTCGCTAACGTCGAGCTAAATGCGTATTTTTGCTAACTGCGTTATTTTTAAAAGTTTAAATATAATTTTGAAGTTACCTGAATAATTCCGGGACTAAATGTAATATGTATACGAAATATTGTCGTATAAAATAAAAAATATTAAGAGAGGAGTTAGGGAACAAACAAACATCCAGACTACGTAACTTGAACACGTGACACAGAATGGACCAATCCTATTCGGCTTCAACGAACAAACGCTTTATTATATGTGATAGTGTCAATTTTTTACGTTATTTTATAAAATGCAGAACAGCTCTGTAAAATTTCATCCCCAGGAGAAAATGTTTTTTCCATTATTCTTTTGAATTATATATTTCAAGCATGTCTTTTCTAATATTTACATTTTTGGTAAGATTCTTAAAAACCAACGGTAAAACTTTGAAAAGTTAATTTGTTTATTTTATTCATATTCTTTTAGTTCAAGTTAAATTTATTATTCAAAAGAAGTTTTTAGTTTTCGTTATTTTAAATATAAAAAATATATATTTAGGTTAATATTGTATAAAAACCTCTCTTGAATGTGTGGGTTAAAAGTTAATTAGAAACCTAAACTTGCATATAGGGTAAATTTGAGAGGAGTATATTTTATATTTTAAAATATTCAATTCTAACTTATTTTAAACAAATCGAAACGCTATAATACGCAAAATAAAAACGGGAAAATCGGCTTTTTTAAAAATACATATGCATATACGTAAGCCTCATGTACATGTCTGTATTTTAGATTTGCATATATTTATGCAAATCATAATAACTCTTGGAATTTTTTTTTAAATGGTAATGTATCCCAATAATGTGATGAAATAATATCTATATTTGATATTGAAGGTAGAATCCTTTACATATCGGATGTTCAGCCCATTTCACCAGACAACACTTAGTTTCATATTGTGGCTCAGATTACTCATATATACCACAGATTTGCATATAAATACAAATAGAGCATTTTTTTGTTTCTTCCCATAATGAAGATAGAATCCTTTACATATATCTATATTTGCATATATTTGTATAAATCAACTTTAATAAAAATATGAAATAAGTATGTTTGGTTGTTCCAGAGCTACGATGGAAGACAGAGATCATCTGCCAGAGATCATTCTTTTTGTCAAGGCAGGAGCCGATGGCAAACGTTACGGAGCCTGTCCGTTCTGTCAGCGGATCTTCATGATCCTAATGCACAAGTCCCAGGAAGGACTCCTACACTTCAAGGTGGCCACGGTCAATCTTTCCAAGCCTCCTGAGGAATTCAAAAAGGCTGGACTTCGCAGAATTCCGGCTATTATTTCTGCAGATGGAGGATTGGACAATGTAGATGACATTGTTGATTATCTTGACGCTAACTTCCCTAGCACATCTCTCGCCTATGACAATTCTACCGCTGAAATCTCATGTAAGGATATATTTCAAAAATTTTGCTTTTTCATCAAAGAAGTTTCAAAGGATTCTGCAAGTTTAGCTATAGAATTAAAACGTCTGAATCAATACATCGTAAATACAAATACGAAATTTCTCTGTTCTGATCATCTTTGCCACTTGGATTGTGAGGTTCTTCCAAAAATTCATCATGTTAGGATAGCTACCATGTATCTCAAGAATTACAAATTTCCCGATGAACTAATTGGACTGAAAACTTACCTCACGAATGCTTATAATCATGAGATCTTCATCAAAACCTGTCCTTCTGACCAAGAAATTGTCTTCCATTGGGCTGATAAACCAGAAACACCAACTCTTTCCCATGAAAGACATTCACAAATGATAAAAGAAGAACCAAAATATACATTTGCGCTTCCTTAAAAAATATTAAAAATAAATCTTTATGATGATTTTTTTAACGAACTAGATTATCAATACCAATATTTTGAATTTGTTTTCCTCTTTATAAATTTTTTTCTTCATTTTATGCTTAAATGTCTTAGAGAATTACTGTGAAAATACATAGTACCCTAAAAAAAAAAAGAATTTGACCATCGTTCTGAATTTTTTTTTTTTTTTTGTCGTGTATTGTACATATTTGTGCGCGCTTTTTATTCTGTGTGAAAACTAATGACCCAAATTTTTGTGTTTTAAAAAAAATCATTTTAAATACTATATATATATATATATACACCAATCTTTCTCCTTTCAAATTTATTTTTTTCTTTAAAGTTTTTTTTTTTGTGTGAAAATATTTTAAACAGATTATCGTAAAAAAAAAGCAAATAAAATATTATCTTTATAAATTTGTAATATATATATAATCTATGTGTGCTTTTATAAATGTTCATTAAAAATATTGACAAATTTATGTTTTTTTTTGCATTTATTTATTTTAAAATTATATATTTTATAATTGCCAAATTTTATAGGGATGTTTTAAAAATATTTTTTTGTATATCTATATTATCTAAACTATTAATTTGTATATAAAATATTTTCCAATTCGAAGATAAATATATAATTTGAAGATGTTTTTGGATTAATTAAAAGAATTTATTTGAATTATATTTTCGTGTGATTTTATTATTGTAATGTTCCTTCGATTAAATATGTAAATATGCTTTACCAAATTAATATCAGCAAACAAATCTAAGACAATAGCTTACTATACATTTTTTAGATCATCATTATGTAAGGACCAGTCAACAAGTGAATGACTTTGAGACGAAGAGTAAAGCCAGTTCAATTTCTATGTAAATAACACAAGATGATTATTACCTTATCCAATTGGGAGAATCTGTATGGGGCAAGTCTCTCATAAAGGCTTTGTGTGTGTGTGGTTTACCAAATTAAGAAACAAATTTTAATTATATATCTTTCTAATGTTATATATATACACTTTGAATATATAGCGATTTGATAAAATGAAAGAAGACAAGTTTCTTTAATCATTTAACTGATTTAAATGATTTAAACTGATTTAATCATTTAAATGATTAAAGAAACTTGTCTTCTTTCATTTTATCAAATTGCTACATATCTTACTAAGAAGAATCTTCTATATCTATTCCTTTTGAATATA